GGGGGGGGGGGGGGGGGGGAGGAGCAGCAGGAGGTGAGCGGAAGGCAGATCGTGCAGGATTCCAGACTCCAGACCACAGTAACCTGGGCTTTTACTCTGAGTGAAAGGAGACAGGAGACACCACTGGGAGACTGAGCAGAAGTGCATCCTGATCTGTTATCAGTGTTTAAAGGATCACTCCACGGAACAGAGATTGTGAGAAGCCAAGAGCGAATGCAAGAGCCCCACTGGAGGCTGTTGCAATAATCCAGGTGAGAGGTGAGGGTGAACTACACCGGCGTGGGACATGGTGAGAATTCATAAGTTCTGGTTAGTTTGAACATAGAGTCTAGAGGATTTTCTACCAGTGTACATATGAGATATTATAACTGTGAAGCTCTGTTAGAAACTTAACTGTTAGATGCTTAACTCTGCAATTCAATGCAACAAACAAGTATTGAGTACATAATACATGGAAGTAGAAGCACAAACATATAAAAAGTTAGGGTCAACATCTTTTCTGTTCGAATATTTTCGGCAAGTAATACTGATGCAATAAGTGAGACAACCCAGTTCTTTCTGAATTCATACGATTTTTGTTCTATATCTATTCCACCTTTTCAATGTGAGTATTCACCTATGCTAAGTGGTGTCTGAGCAGCTTCTATTCCAAAGAGTAAACCTCGTGTCACTCTGGGCCAGTTGCTTGATTCTATAGAGTATTTTCCAGCATTGGTTCCATAAATCACAAGGGAGATATAAAGCTTAGTGAAGAAGTAGTTCTGTGGCCAAATGCCCCTGGATATCACAGCTCTTTCTCACAGATTCAAAACGCACATTTTAAGTCTCTGAGCAATCCTGCAGCAAAAAAGAAGGAAAATCTCTTTAATCATGAACCTTTCTCTCCAACCCCATCCCCCAACCTTTTCTCCTTCCTCCTACCTTAACTGGAAAAAAAAAAAAAAAATCAATAGACTTACGATGAACAGAACATATAACTTCTAGCAAATAAAGCACTTCTCACCTAGATCTAATAACCATTATACAATTTATTCTCAAGTAACTTGCCCTGCCTATCTAACAAGGTTGTTGCAAAAACTAAATGTGATTATGTACACAAAAGTATTTTGTATATAAGATATTCTGCCATGTGGGCAAAGGCAGCATTTTACATAGAGAGAAGAAACCGTGGGAAAGATGTTACACACAGGGAAAAAGATACCCACGGGTTCCCGTGGAGAATCTGAGCACTTGGGAGACTGCGGGGCATCCAAGACAATAACTGATCTTACCAGTGGGCTAAAAAGGTCAGATTATCTTTGTTAAAAAGCTGCTTTTTGAATTGCGGATTATTTCATTAATCCAACCATCAAGTAAACAAAAACAGTATACGAAAAAATGAAACCCATTCTGGTACCAAAAGAAAAGGAAAAAACAACCCCCTCCCCCCAAAAAAAACACCTTGACATTTTATATTACGGTTTGAATTTAAATTTATGATCATATTTTCTGGATTGCATAATATACCATAATATACCAATTTCATGTTGGAAAAATATGTATTTAATATTTTTTATTACAAAAGTATACATGTTCATTATAGAAAATTTCAAGTACAGAATAAGTATAAGAAAAAAATTTAAAAACCTAGTCCACTGTACAGAGATAATTTATCAGCCTTAAAACTGTGATCCATCTCAATTTTTTTATGCATACATATTACAAACACAATTTCCTTTTTAAATAACTGGACCATTCTTATGCAATTAGCTTTTAAAATCTCGCTTTTGCTGCTTAACCAGATGATATGATTATCTCCCTTTGTCTTTAGATATTGTTTAACAATTTTTAATGTCTTCATGAAAGTCTATCATGTGGATACCCCACAGTTCATTAAAGCATTCGTCCATTGGTGGGCATTTTAGATTATCTCCCTTTGTCTTTAGATATTGTTTAACAATTTTTAATGTCTTCATGAAAGTCTATAATGTGGATACCCCACAGTTCATTAAAGCATTCATCCATTGGTGGGCATTTTCCCAAAGTTTTCATTGTGTATACAGTGCTATAAGGACAATTTTCAAGCATAACTCTGTGTGCATGTGTGATCATTTCCTCAGGATAAATTCCTAGAAATAAAAATTCTGGGCCCAAGTACATAATTTTGTTTTGCTACATATTGTCAAACTCCTACTACCTTTCTAGAGAGAAATTTTTGTTAGTGTGTGTGTATAAGAATGTTCATTTCATATTATTTCTGTAGCATTTAATACTGCCTTAAAATATTTGCATATTTCTCATTGTTACACTTATTTTTGCATTGATTTGTATTTTTTTGATTACTAGTAAGCCTTTGGTTTTTTTCTGTTTCTTGCAGGTATTTCCTCCCTGTGAATTTAAGTGTATTGCCCATGTTTCTATCTTGTGTTCATCTTCTGAAAGAAAAATTACTTAGAAGAGCCCTTATATTTTTACTAATGCTTTGTTGCTAGTTTAGGTTAAGTCTTTCCAATCAACCACAGTAAAGACATTGTTCTTCCTCCTGAAATTTCACAAGCTAAAAAATTGATTTAAAAAGTTCAGGCTGAGGTAACCACTGCACTGATAAAAATTATATCGACTCTACCCTCAAACAGATGATGGCACTGGGGGATTCCTCTTCCCACAGCTAATGTTCTACTAGGAACAAAGTTCCAGAAGCAAGAACTTTAGACCTTGCTCTTTTGGATTGACACGCAAGGTCCATTTCCTAATTAACTCCAGACTTTTTGTTTAATTTTGATTCTGTCTTTTTACATGTCCCAGTGGTCCTGGTCCTGGGAAACAAACTGGAAAACTGAAGAGATGACTCAGAGGAGAGAGGCAGGTCCCTCTCCCATGGTCCATAAGAGAGTATGTTGGATCTTTACACACCTTTGGTTGTGAGGCATTCCTCTTGGCATAAAACTTCTGCTTGGATTTGTTTTCATTTCCATGCACATCACTGTTGATAAGAAGGAAAGCTGCCTATCACAGATGTTAAACCGATGGTTGTTTAACGACTCTGCAATTGCGGTTTCCACACTGGGTGTGGCGTAGAGTTTGCACGTTTACACAATTTCTTTGGCATCAAAGTCTCTTAGGAGAATGCTTATGAGCAGATTTTCTGCAGTGACAAAAAACCTCTTTGAGTTTTTTTCTCTCCCCATTTCAAGCTCTCGTCTAACCAGCCACTGGCAGAAGTTACTATTTCTTAAGCGAAGGAATGCTGCTTTCCAAAATCCTTTGGCAGAATCTCCTAGAGATTTGTTTTTCTGCTCCTTCCTAATTTAGAGACTGTCTTCAAAGAAAAAAAAAAAACACCGTGACAAATTGATGTAAGAAGAAACTAACACTGATTTTATTTTGCATTTCTTTCATGGAAAGTTTCAGACTTTATCTTCTACAGCCAATAAAATTGGACAGTTTGGGGGGAAAAAAGTTAAGAAAAAGTGTATACCCCAAGATCAGACTGTTCTCTATTCTAGTCAAGAAGCAACATGTAATACAAGTTCAAGATTTTATTAAAATCATTTGTAAGTTAAATTAACATCATATCTCGGTGGTGAAGGAAGATTTTTAATAAAGTGAAATAATGAGGTACGTGAATAAACAAAAAGAGTAAAAAGTGTTAACTGTGACATTTAAATGGTTACATGATTTTAATTATTCTTTTAATAATACGCAAACTTGCAATGCTTTTCAAGGAGCTGGAACCTGGGAATTTGCAGTTGAATTAGGGCTTTGTTTCCTGTCTTTGGCAATTTTAAGGAAACAAATAGAACTGGTTTTAAGACCTTATAACAATCCACTACCTACCAAAAGAATTTAAAAGGTGGGGTGGTAAGCACTAGAAAAAGAAAGTGAAAAAAAAAAAAAAAGCCATACACACATTGTATTTATTTGTGAGACAGCGAACAGAAGACAGAAGTGTTACTGAGAGAAGGGTTCAGAAGTCCAGTTCATGCCAACCGCTTATTTGTTCTTGGCTGTCAGGGGTTTCCGGCTGATCTTTTTCGATTTGTCATTATTCTTCTTTGGTGGTTCTGGGTTTGCCTGCATGTGTCTACCGTAGAGGCTGAAAAGAGAGAAGAAACCATGACATCTGTTTTCCTAACACAAAATAAGCTTCTACTGATGGAGCTTTAAACAGGAGACTAATCTCCAGAAATATTCAGTAAGCCAAAGAAAAACTGAAGATCATTGCTGTTTTCTCTGGGTCAAAAACTGTGTATAAGAATTTAAAACTCTCTCTCTCTCTCTCTCACACACACACACACACACACACACCAGGACGTCCGATCACGGACAAGTCTGTTGGAATTTCACGCCCACTGGGCAAGATCTGAAAACGGCTAAGGAACGGATCTGCAGGATTGGGAGAACCTGTTCCAGACGGAAGCTCAAAGGGCTGTGAGTGTTTAACTAGACAGGGACTAAAATTGGATTGAACCGGAGAGACATAGTGTCCATTTAGTGAAAAGTGAGCTTCATTTCGTGCCTGGCCTGAAAGCCCAGGGACTGGCTAATGTGAAAAAGAGCAATAGTGTCCGAGTGCGCCCCAGCTGCTCACGCATGACTGATGGTGTGGGGATTGGCTATCACACATCAACGCCACGTTAATAAGTACCACTGATGAAATGTTGACAAAGTGCCCTACAATTACTGTGCATGGCATTCATCACGGAGCGAGGTAGCTCCATGGCTAAGAGGATTTAACTGATCAGCAGATAGTAATTAATCGATAATTTATGAGT